CACCGGGGTGGTTATGGTTCTGGAGGCCAGGGCTGGGTTCTGCAGGAACACCAGGGCTGGGATAGTAATGATCTCTCCTTAGAGAAGGGACACGTGGCTGTAAGGATGTGGTTGGGTTTTCTGGATGCGAGGTGGATGCTGCAGCAGGCAAGGAGTCATGGACCTCCCATGAAGACCTAGGAGTGGGGGGTATGGTGGCACTGCAGAGCCAGGTGGGGCCAGTACAGAGTGATGTTTGCCCTTTGTTCTGTGGATGATGGAAAGCGTCTGAAGGGCTTTGGAGCTAGACTGATAGATTATGCCTTCTAGAAATGCCACTCTGGAGGAGTGTGGAGAATTGGGCTGAAGGAGAATCAGTTACAGCCAGGGATGCCAGATTGCATGGAGACTGCAGTTCCCAGGACTGGGAGCGTGAGGTCTATGGATCCAGACTGGGCTTGGTTATTCAGCTAGTCCTGTTTGGCATTTCATCTGGGAGGCATTGAGAAAAAAAAAACTATAAATAAATTTTTGATAACAGAAATAATGAGAGCAATGAAGGAGGAAGAGATATAACAGGGACAGGAACAGAAGAGAGAATATGAATGTGAGGACAGGAGAGAAGATGATCCTAGAAGACCATTGGATAGCAATCAGTGCCCCATTCCTGTAGTAAAATACCTGAGACAGTTAACTTATAAGATAAAAAAAAATTGTTTTGGTTCATTGTTCTTTAGTTTTCAATTCAAGATCAAGTAGGCTCATGGCTTTGGACATATCACAGCAGGAGCTCTGTGGCAGAATGAACCACTTACAACATCAGCCAGGAAACAAAGAAACTAGAGAGCAAGATCACAATGTCCCCCCCACACACAAGGGCACCTTCTTAGTGACCAAAGGACGGACCTCCCCACCACTCACACGTTCTACTGCCCTGGGTGGCATTTCACTGGGTACCAAGCTTCTAATACTTGGACCTCTGGGGAACATTCTAAACACTAGCAGTTTGGAACTAAACAGATGAAATTTAATAACATATTTAGAGGGTTAATGGACCAGTGTTAAAGTTCAAATTGGAGAAACCTGATTTAAGAGTAGTTCAGGAGAAACCAGCCTAAAAGTTATAGTTGACAGCAAGTTCTTTATATGACTGCTGAAATTATCAGCTCAGTCTTGGGGTACTTCCGTGAACATAAAATGTCACAAGTAAAGGATGGTCCACTATTGCTGTGCAGGGGCCATACTGCTTCTAGGTAGCTCATTTCAATAGGACTGGTGACAAATGCGAACAGCCAGAGGAGAATACCCCCTCCCGTCTGCAATCCTTTCTTGGCCTTTCAAGTTTTTTGTAGACTTATCCCTATCTTAATAGCCCCTGTGATCCCTTTTGAAGTCTCAATCTCTCAGTCTCAGTCTCTCTCTCTCTCTCTCTCTCTCTCACCCGGGATTGAAATCAGGCCCTTGCACTTGCCAGCCAACTGCTTATTCAACTGAACTATCTCCCTGGCCCCTTCTTTTGGAGTCTCTTACATTTTCTCTGGTGCTTATTCATTCAAGTCAGTCTTTTTTCCTCATTATCAGGTTGTCATTTTCCCAAACATGTTAGATGCCAAAGCCAGACATAACATTGGGAAGCCCTAATGTTATCAGTATGACTTGTGGTTAATGATGATTCTTCCAGAAGACAAAGGAGAGAAGAGGCTGGGTGTGAGGGTGTCTGCCTATAATCCTAGAACTCTGGAAAGCTGAGGCAGAGAAGTCACCAAGTTCAATCCCAGCCTGGGCACTTGAACAACTTAGTGACACCCCATTTCAAAATTTGAAAATTAACTAAATCAAAACACTGGGGATATGTCTCCATTGTAGAGCATCTCTGAATTCTATCCCCAGAACCATAAAAGAAGGAGAGGAAAATCAAATGAGCTGTATCACAGCTTTAGCTTCATCTGCATCTGAGGTCTTAGAAAGAAGACATTGAGTAGCCAATACCCTAGCAAGGTGGCCATACCCAAAAGAGTATTTTAGTTAGGATTTCTCAAAAATGGCCCCATGAAGTTGGTATTCTGCCAATCTGTAACACTGGTAAAGGTGACTTCAACAACAGCATTACTTTAGTAGTTTAAGTTGGGATGTCTTGTCTTAGTCACTTTCCTGTCTTCTTCCCAGCTGCTACTTGGCCCTCAGCATAAATCAAGTCACTCAACAAATAATTTTTGGTTTTGCTTTTATGTGTAGTATTGGGGTCAAACCCAAGGCCCCACACATCTAGGAAAGTGCTGTATCTCTGAGCTATGTTCCTAGCCCAACAAATCATTTTTTTTGATAAATATTCTGTTTTTCTATGTTTTCTTAAAGAATCACCAAATGATATCAGCATTGCATGAAACAGTTGATCTCCAGTGTTCAGCAGTCTTCACCTGAACAGTAAATCTGGGACTGTTTCCTTTGTTGAAAAAAGTCAACTATGAAGAAAATGTCAGCTGAATTAAACAGTAGGCTTTGGTGAAGTTAATTTTCATTCTGGTGCAAGATTCCTATCTAATCATAGCAGCAGGGATACCAGGCCACAGAACACACCAGGTAGCACTTGCTTATAATTCAAGGCTCTTTCCAGATTGCCTGAGGCTGGCATTCCTGTGTACAGCTTTCAGTCATTGTTCTCATAAATGTTGAACTGTGAGGAGGCAAAGCTTTGTGGGCTGCTTTTGAGGCTTTATGAAGTCAGTCTTCATCCCCAAAAGGCTGAATTTAAGTAGTCTCGTGACTAAGGCCATGTATTAGCTTGCAGGTTATTGTAACTAAGGACCTGAGATAGTCAGCTTACAAGGAGGAAGTGTTTACTTGGGCTCAGAGATCTCAGTGCAGAGTTGCATAGACTTACCTTGTGTTTGTAGCAAAGCAATAGAACATCTAGGAACATGTGGCAGGGAAAGCTGGCCCCTTGCAGCAGCCAGGAAGTGAAAAGACAGGAAGAAGAGGGACCAGGCTCCCAATATGGACTCAAAGGCCACGCCTCCAGGGCCCTAACTTCCTGACACTCACTCCCACCTCCTGAAGGGTTCATGGACTCCCTGTAAAGCTGCAGGCTGGGGACCAGGCCTGTAATACGTGGGCTTTTGGGGGCCATTTCTAAACCATGCTAGCTGTCTATTCCCTGGATTTCTCTGTTGTAAAAAGGATTCAAAACCAGACCCAAGACATGGAAATCCAAATCCAGCCAATAGCCAGAAATTAAGTCCATTTAGGCCTAGGACAGCCCCTTCCTCAGATTCCTCTGCTTTTCTGATAGTCCTCTGCCATCTCCCTCTCTCAACTGAGGGGACAGAATGCAGGCTTTCTGCATTGAAATTAGCATGGAGGGAGACTGGAAGAAACTGATTCACAGGTTCATCCTGCTTCTGCTCTAAGAAACTTATTTGGAGAAACATAAATTCAGGGGTAGGATAGGAAGAATTCAGTGGCTGCTGGTGGTGACAGGCTCTTGCTTGCCAGCCTGAAGCCAAACTCAGACTAAGATGATTTTAGAAGATTAAATGAATATAATTAGTTAAAATACATTTTATGGAAAAAATATTCCTTTTAAGGAGAAATATATCCCCCTACATTTGATAAAGACATCTCTGTTTTTAAATATTAGGATGTCGGGGCTGGGAAGATGGCTCAGTGGAATAAGCGCTTCCTTGGCAAGCACAAGGGCCTGAGTTCAATCCCTGGTTCTGAAAAAAAAAATTAGGGTGTCATGTAGACTTCACAAAGGATAGTCAAAACTTACATAAAGGTAGTTACTATAACAGCTTACAGGAAAATGCACCCTTGGGTTGTCATTTTTCCAAGTGTTTCCTTCCCTGCTCACTGGAACCAGACAGCAGGGGGCAGTAGTGAGCACCTAACCAGACCTCAGTGGAAACTACTAACCAGTGTCCCCTCTTGCCAGTGCCCTCTCCATTCAGCACTTATTTTTCTGTCTCCTGGTCGCCTGACTGGTAGTTTCCAGAAGTTAAATGTATGCTGTGTGGTTTTAACAGCAGACAAAAGCCCCAATCATAAATTCAATGCTACTTTTTCTCAGAGATTGCCTGGAGCTGTAGTGTGTTTGCAGGGTAGTGCTGAAAAACTTGCACATAGTTTCCTGCTCCGGGGAGCTAGTAAATCATAAGAGTGTAATCTCTGTTTTCTCTTTCTGCATGGTGAGAGGGCACAGCACATGGTTCCAGTATTCCTCCCGTGACTGCTTTCCATTGTTAGCGCGACGGTTTCCTTGCCTTTGAGTTTTCTAGGTCATCCTCAGCCTGGCATAGTTACTTAGTCACATTCTCCTTTGCAGCGATGAGTGTTGGGGGATGCGAGTGTAAATCATTGTTATCTTAACATGAAACAAGATTTTTAATGGTCAAGGTGATGCTTGTCTTACCTTTCTTTCGTCTCAGTTTATTCAGTGCAGTATTTTGTACTTAATGAAAGTTCAATAAAAAATTGTCTTAACTGGCCTGAATTACTATGTATAACTATGGAAATAATTGTATTATTAAATGATAAAAGGAAAATGTATCGCGGTGACTAAAGATATCATCTCATTGGTTTTCTTTTTATTTTTATTCAGAATGTAATGTTTTACATGGACACTGATTTTATATTTGACTACTTCCCAATGTGCCTCAGCAAAGCTTATGCAAGTTAAGTTGCCTTCTATTTGTATTCCAGGTTCTTGCAAAATAATTGTCTGTGTTGGCTGGAAGAGCCCAACTACAATAGACTCCTTTTGAACAATTTTAAATTACTTGAAAAACACTTTGGTGGCTTTAGGCATATTTATTTCTACCTCTTCGTTTCTGTACCGAGCCAAATATTATAGAAATTTCATGAAACAATTATGAACCGTGGAAAAACACATTTGTGTATTTTCAAAGGCTGGGATAATTCTTTACCTAAAAACCTTTAGGTCGCCAGTTACAATAAAATGTGTGTGGATGTTGATGTCTTTAAAAGAAATTCTCTGAAGCTTTCTTGTTTGTACATGGCAGTGCAGGGAAAGTCAAGCATGAGTGGTTTCTGCAGAAAGATTCTGAAGGGGACACACCTTCACTTATCAACTGGCCTTCCAGGTACCTCTCCTGAGACGCTGTGGCTTGTGTTCTATGAATGCGCTGCTCCTTCCCCTGACTGCCTTGTTCTGCACAAATTTGCTAATCCTGTCTGTCTTCTTGACCTGTTGAAAGGCAATATACTTGGAAATCCTGTATTTAAAAAAGTTGTCTAGTCGTT